CAGCTGCTGGCCTCACCTCTGGATCCTGCTGCCCCCACCATGATGCCTCCTGTTACAAAAGGACAATAACTTCTAATAACTTGTTTAACTGTACACTAAATTTTAGAATTCATCCTACATCTACCCAACCGGTCGAGGCAGATGGCCGTCCCTCCCTGAGCCTGAGCCAGGTTCTGTCTGAGGTTTTCGGTTCCTTCCCAGTGTTGCAGACTGCTTGCAGACTGCTGAAGCTTATAGGGAATCCAAATGTTTTGGATTGCTGGGTGTTTCTGCCTTTGTGAAGCGCTATGAGATGACTTGTTGTTGTAAATATGCGCTATACAAATAAAATTGAATTGAATTGAATTGAATTGAATTAAGCATTACCATCAGAGCATAATAAACTGATTTCAAAATAAAAGTGATTTTCCAGTGAATGGCATTTCACCTTCATTGAGTTAGTCTAAATAAAAGATCAATTAATACTTAATAGCCAAATAAATAAATGCATTATGAATACATGGAGCATTATAGGGTCAAATAATAATTCCTGAAGAATAACACCTATTGTCTGTAAACTGCAAACATGTCAGACTGATAGTAGGCCATCTCAGGATGTCAATCACAAAGCATCTGATGTGGCATTTCAAAATAAGAGCCCACCAAAATAGCACATCTGGTTATAATCTCTCTAAAATCAGACGAATATTAAAATAAATCCCCCTGTTATCACAAACCCATTTCACTTCAGACTGATAGTAGGCCATCTCAGGATGTCACTCAAAAAGTATCAGACCATGAAACAGAGAGGCGGCTAGCTTGACTGTGTTTTCGGAATAGGGGTCTGGCTTGACCGTAATAGATTACCATAGTTATTCTCCTTTTATGTGTACTTTTATGCTTGTTGCACTATTTCTTATGCTTATATTTATATGTACATTTTTTCTGTCGAGTATGTGTGTATCTCTATGTGTAAAGCTGCTGACAACAATGTGAATTTCTCCACTGCGAGATAAATAAAGGCTTATCTTGTCTTATCTTACTTTGCCAATCGGTTTCAGTGTTTTCTAGGTTTCTGTAGTTTAGCCCCTTTTTTGAATTGAGTTTGATTTGTCTGAGTTCTATCTCTCCCCCTCGCCCAGTTATCCCCGCTTTTGTTTGCAATTTCCCCATGGAGCTAAAACAGAGACAGTATTAGTTGTCACTGAAAAAAAATGTAATTGAAAGCAGGAATGAAGAAAAAAAAATTGCCGATTGTCCATCCATCCATCCATTATCTATACACCGCTTAATCCTCATGAGGGTCGCGGGGGGGCTGGAGCCTATCCCAGCTGACTTAGGGCGAAGGCAGGGGACATGCAAACTCCACGCAGATTCTGGTGCCCCCACCGGGACGCGAACCGGCAACCTTCTTGGTGCGAGGCAACAGTGCCACCAATTGCGCCACCCTGCAGCCCATTACCGATTGTTTCAGTGGCAAATTATTCTTTTCTTCAATGACAATATATATATATTTTTTGCAATGACAACTAATACTCTCTCTGTTCTAGCTGCATACTTAGCAGTTTACAAGCAAATTTGACTGGAATTCCTTTGCTTTTAGTATTTTCTTCCTCTTTTGTGCCATCAAGTGGTCAAAATGCATGTCCGTGTCTGTCCATCTGTGTGTGTGTGTGTGTGTGTGTGTGTGTGTGTGTGTCCGTGTCTCCCATTGCAGATACCTGCACCAAAGTCCTAGCACATGACTCCTGAACAGGCTCAACATTTTAGCTTTCAAATGTTTCTATCTGCAAGCATTTAGGAGCAGTTAGTTGAAAAATCTGTAGAATATGAAAAGTATAATAAATAGAGCAGCACAAGAATTTGCTGCATACAATACTGAGACTTGGTGGGCAGCTTCCCTATAGGTCAGTGCTTCCCATATCCAAAACTGGAAGTAATGGTTCCGCTATGTAATGGGAAACATGATAATGGCTAACACCATAGTTCCACTTTTAAAATGCCAAGCTTGACCTGGCCATGACACTTGTCATAATTAATGAGTAGTATGTATGTATATATTTAAAATTAGAACTGCACAAAATCAGAAGCATCTTAAGAACCTAGAAGTGATGCTTGAGAGACTTTCATTCAGTTGTATGATACATTGTATGGTTAAAGAACAACATTAAATGGATACCCCAAGAGCAAAGGGATTATACAAATGATTAAACAAATTAGTGTTATGAGCAAAATAGATTGACAAAATTAATGATTGAAAGTGAAACTGTAAAATCTTTCTTGAATAAGTCATCAGGCAGAACTGGGCATTACATAATACAAAATAAGAGCTTTTGAGATCAGACTAAATGAATTAATGGAGACTAGATCGAAGCTGTAGGCTCCCTTTATTTTAATGAAAAACCAAAGATCTATCAAGAACCAAATCATCCTAGAAGGTACAGTACAGTGAAGGTAGAAAGAGTAAGCATGATAACAGAATGACAATGGCCTAATGTGCAAGGTCAGACTTGTCGTATTTTAATTTCTGTCAATATAAAGGAAGTGAACCCAAAACAGTCTCCAAAGAATTTCTTGACCAGTCTCAAAATGACATTTGAATAATTCATTCAACAAAAAGGCAAGACTGAAAAAATGGCACTTTACAAAATGTAAACAGTATACTGTCATGTCCAATCCCAGTTATTACTTAATTTGGTTGGAAAAGAAATGTGGTTGTAAAAGACATTCTTTTTTCTTCAATGTGATATGGAAACGTATTTTCCCTGAATACTGATATAATGTTTCAATTTCGTTTTTAATGTAGTGAAGAAATGAAAAATAAGCCCCAGTCACAGGTCAGGGAGAAACAAACCATGACAACAGCACATCTGTTATATAGGCCAAACTACTATGGCAAGAATTCTATAGAGCATATACTTGGGTACTTAGGTATGGCACATGTAATGGTGAGCTGATCAGCAGAAAGCATATGTTCATTTGTTTCTCAAATTTTTACAAGAAAGACATGAACATACACAAGGTCAGACACACATGTGGACAGAATTGTTGGTACCCCTCGGTTAATCAAAGAAACACCCACATTGGTCACAGAAATAACTTGAATCTGACAAAGGGAATAATAAATAAAAATTCTATGAAAGTTAACCAATGAAAATCAGACATTGCTTTTGAACCGTGGTTCAGCAGAATTATTTAAAAAAATAAACTCATGAAACAGGCCTGGACAAAAATGATGGTACCCCTAGAAAAGACTGAAAATAATGTCATCATCGGGACATGTTCAATCAAGGTGTGTCCTCTAATCAGCATCACAGGTGTCTACAAACTTCTAATCAGCCAGTCGGCCTATTTATAGGGTTACAAGTAGTCACTGTGCTGTTTGGTGACATGGTGTGTACCAAACGAAACAGACAAACATGTTAAAGGTAAAGGCTATAAGACCATCTCCAAGCAGCTTGATGTTCCTGTGACTACAGTTGCACATATTATTCAGAAATTGAAGATCCATGCTACTGTAGCCAACCTCCCTGGATGTGGCCGCAGGAGGAAAATTGATGACAAATGGAAGAGAAGATAATACGAATGGTAACAAAAGAGCCCAGAACAACCTCTAAAGACATTAAAGGTGAACTCCAAGGTCAAGGTACATCAGTGTCAGATTGTACCATCTGTCGTTGTTTGAGCCAAAGTGGACTTCATGGGAGACGACCAAGGAGGACACCATTGTTGAAAACAAATCATAAAAAAGCCAGACTGGAATTTGCCAAACTGCATGTTGACAAGCCACAAAGCTTCTGGGAGAATGTCCTATGGACAGACGGGACAAAACTGGAACTTTTTGGCAAGGCACATCAACTCTATGTCCACAGACGCAAAAATGAAGCATATCAAGAAAAGAACACTGTCCCTACTGTGAAACATGGAGGAGGCTCTGTTATGTTCTGTGGGGCTGCTTTGTTGCATCTGGCACAGGGTGTCTTGAATGTGTGCAGGGTACAATGAAATCTCAAGACTATCAAGGTATTCTAGAGACAAATGTGCTGCCCAGTGTCAGAAAGCTTTGTCTAAGTCGCAGGTCATGGGTCTTGCAACAGGATAATGACCCAAAACACACAGCTAAAAACACCCAAGAATGGCTAAGAGGAAAACATTGGACTATTCTGAAGTGGCCTTCTATGAGCCCTGAGCTAAATCCTATTGAACATCTGTGGAAGGAGCTGAAACATGGCGTCTGGAGAAGTCACCCTACAAACCTGAGACAACTGGAGGAGTTTGCTCATGAGGAGTGGGCCAAAATACCTGCTGAGAGGTGCAGAAGTCTCATTGACAGTTACAGAAATCGTTTGATTGCAGCGATTGCCTCAAAAGGTTGTGCAACAAAATATAAGTTAAGGGTACCGTCATTTTTATCCAGGCCTGTTTCATGAGTTTATTTTTTAAAATAATTCTGTTAAACCACGGTTCCAAAGCAATATCCGATTTTCATTGGTTAATTTTCATAGAATTTTTATTTATTATTACGTTTGTCAGATTCAAGTTATTTCTGTGACCAATGTGGGTTTTTCTTTCATTAACTGAGGGGTACCAACAATTTTGTCTACGTGTGTATAAGGACCCAAGTCTTGTTGGTCAACCATTGGCATTGCAGGATGAAATTGGAGCAGAGGGGGAATTATCACCTTTTAAAATAATCAAGAGACAATGATTTTTTTTTTTTTAAAGAGACAAAATAATTATTTAAATAAAGGTGCTTTTATAAAAAACAAAACAAAAAAAAAACACTAGAAAACCAGACAGTGAACATCCCCTAAAACAGAGGTGCTACCGCATATGGAAATAATTGACAGGAAGATGTTTTTGAAGTTAAATAAGCTTCAGTAGAAAGCAACTGGACTTCTCTTCTTAAGAGATTCTGAACTGAATTTTTGCAAACTATTCTTGGAGGCAGGGCTGTGTCAGAAATAATGTCATTGGCAGAATTCCACTTCACTGTGTGGAGCCACAACATATCTTCTTTGAAAGATTCAACAGATGTTTATAGGTATAAAACTTATCTACACCTGCAGGAGTAAGGTACATACATCAGGTATAGGAAATTATAACAGAAAAACAATACTACAAATGTGTATAGCAACAAAACAATGAACAGAAATTTAAAGTTTGTCATTTAACTCAAATGTACAGCTTGTAGAACCAGTAGGTCCTAAATGTTTCACTGCATGCTTATGTCTCCATATTTTCTGCATCCAAGTCCAAATGTCCATGGCACATATCATGCTTTGTCTGGGCTCAAGTGCAACTTTATATCCTTAAAAATATGGAAACTTCAAGAAATACGTGTGAATGGTCTGCACTTGTATATTTCTACATTAGTGGTACTCAAAGCGCTTTACAATGTGTTTCTCATTCACCTGTTCACGCATACATTCACACAACAATGGTGACAGATCTGCCATGCAAGGGCCTGCTTGTCATTGGGAGCAACTTTGAGGTCAGTACCTTGCCCATAGTCACTTTAGCATGTGGAAGGGCCAGGGATTGGACTACCAACCTTGTGATCAGGACAACCCGTTCCTCCACTCGTATGGAAAACACATTGTCCTTCTCTAATCAAAGCCTTTTGTCTGTGGATATCCTGCCTGGGTCAGTATTCACAATTTGACTCTGGTCTGACATATGATTGGTGACTGACAATTTAGTAAGTTGTTTTAAGACAAAGGACACTAAAATATAAAATCAAGTGCAGTTATTGTCATGCTGTCTCTCGCAATGAATAGAAACTATAACAGCTACAAGAACAACTACTCTGTTGGCAACTGACAAACATTTGGCCACCAATTAAGCTTTTCATTCCTGACAGACAGCAGTTCAGTCCATGTAAACATGATAATAAAACGCAGTGATTTAAAAAATAAAATAAAATAAAATAAAAGATAGATTGTTTTGGCTGCAATCATCTTTCCTGTCCATACTGGCATATTGTAAGTTTTCATATTGTAATTGTAATTGTTCATAATGGCATACTGACGTAACCCATCTTAAACTGACTCCTTGTACAGTAGGCATACCACATTGGTCTTATAGCAAATTCTCATGGAATTTAGCTTAAGAAATCAAGTTCTTTCCTTCTCCAACTTTCAACACTGTCTAAACGCATACAGTGTAGACATAAATGGAGCACTTGAGCTACTTTTCTCTCCACTATTGTGCTGCTTATGCTAGGTCTCCTGTGTAGACACAATGTTGAGGTAAGGCAACTATTTGTTAATATCCACATTATAAGTGGATATTATATATACATATATATGGACTCAAACACCACTTAATTCTATTTAACTCAGATATTGACTGTTTTTCACAACTTTTAAGTTTGAGGTTCAGTGTCTGCCTAATGCACAGTATAGAAAAAGAATTCCTTTTAGCCTTCTCTAGAATGGGATGTAATATGATTACAGGAATTATTATGAGAAATAATTTAGCATGTTAGCAAGCATACGATTAGACCTGGAACAAGCAGTAGGGTTTTCTCTGTGCAGTCAGTCAGGGGCGCACAGAGCTTTGTGGTGAGTTAGTAACCACAAGCAGGACATTGTTAATACAGCCAAACTTAGCGGGAGGCTTTGACAGCTGTTCCAGAGAACAGAGACAAGTTTTAGGAATAAACACCTCACTGAAGGAAGTGTCAGGGCACAGTCTGGAGTAAAAATCACATGGATGTTACAGTATGTAACGTGGGAGGAATTTATATAGCATGAAAAACAGGTATGCGATTTGTGTGTACTTGTGCCTATGCTGAGTCAGTTCATTTTCATTTCACTGTAAGGATGGCAACATATGGAAGTCAAGACTGCCAATTCTAATTAAAATATTCAAATCAAATTGAAATGATAAAATTTGTAGGTGCATGATATACAATTAATGCAAATCAAAGAATGAAGAATGACGTTATTTAATTTCATTCTCCATTAGTTGTTCAGTTTCAGTTTCAAAAGGTGTGAACAGAAAATGAATTCAACCCAGGTGTGACAGCTCCATGGTAATTTTGCACTTATGTTATGAGATGTCTGGATTATCTTCTGCAGATTCAGGTGGTTCTTGTGGTCTGTACATGAAGGTGAGGAGAAACAGAGCCACATCATAAGAGCACCAATACGCTGTATGTGAGGTCACGGCTGACCAATAGCGACTTTCCACCAAGCCCTCCCGCAGCTCAAAGTCGATGCGTCTGTCCAGTTCCACTAGAACAAAGAAAGTAACAGGTTGATTAGTATGCAGTTGCAGAAAGTGTCAATAGGTCCCTGAGACTGGCGTACTTGTCGGAAAAGTAAAAAGCAATTTACAGCATGCAAGGAGTGCTTTCCATTTCCATGGAGTATTAGAACTGCTAATATTGACATCAACTCTGCAGATAATGTCATACAAATTGGGATTTTTCAGCCTGTGCATACCTTTTAGTCAGATCAAAAGGTCAGACAACCATTGGAAAACAAGATTTACTCAAGCTGCTCTTTAAATTGAAATCACACATACAGTTGAAACCAGAAGTTTACATACACTGTAAAAAAAAAAAAAAAAAAAAAGACATATAACCTTTTTTCTTTCTCACTGTCTGACATTAAATTAGATCAAACTTTTGCTCAGTTGGGATTACCAAAATTATTTCTATTTGCTAAACAGCAGAATAATGACAGACAGAAGTTTTTTAAGAAAATGTTTTATTACTGTCTTCAAAGTCAGAAGTTTACATACACTAAGATTACTATGCTTTCAAACTATTTAAGAGCCCAGATGATGATGTCATGGCTTTTGATAGGTTAATTGACAACATTTGAGTTAACTGGAGGCTCACCAGTGGATGTATTTTAAGGCACACCTTAAACTCACTGCCTCCTTTTGTGACAGCATGGAAAATCTAAAGAAATTATGTGGAAATACTGAAGCAACATTTCAAGACATCAGCCAGGAAGTTACAGCTTAGGGGCAAATGGGTCTTCCGAATGGACAATGATCCTAAGCATACTGCCAAATTAGTTACAACGTGGCTTGAGGACAACAAAGGTAATATTTTGGAGTGGCCATCACAAAGCCCTGATCTTAATCCTGTAGAAAATTTTTGGGCAGAGCTGAAAAGGCGTGTGGAGCAAAGGCAGCTTATAAACCTGACTCAGTTACACCAGTTCTGTCAGGAGGAAAACGCCAAAACTCCATTAAACTATTGTGAGAAGCTTGTGGAAGGATATCCAAAACATTTGACCCAAGTCATACAATTTAAAGGTAATGTTACCAAATACTAAGGAAATGTATGTAAACTTCTGACTTTGAAGAACATGATAAAAGAAAAAGCTCTCTCCCATCCATCCATTATCTATACACCGCTTAATCCTCATTAGGGGGGCTGGAGCCTATCCCAGCCGACTTAGGGCGAAGGCAGGGGACACCCTGGACAGGTCGCCAGTCTATCACAGGGCTACACTTAGAGACAGACAACCAAGCACACTCACATTCACACCTACGGACAATTTAGAATCACCAATTAACCTCAGCATGTTTTTGGACTGTTTGGGAGGAAGCCGGAGAACCCGGAGAGAACCCACGCTGCACATGCAAACTCCACGCAGAAAGATTCCGGTGCCCCCACCGGGACTTGAACCGGTGGGGGCACTTGCTGCGAGGCAACAGTGCTACCAACTGCGCCACCTTGCAGCCCCTCTCTCCCATTATTCTGGAATTTTGAAAATAGGAATAATTTTGGTAATCCTAACTGACCTAAAACAGGAAAAGTTTAGTCTGATTTAATATCAGACAGTGGAAAAAAAAGGTCTTTTTATACAGTGTATGTAAACTTCTGGTTTCAACTGTACTTCATTGTGTGTTTTCCTTTTCTTTTTTTATATTGTAAAAATGAAAAATAAACTTCAACACATGATGATATTTTTATTATTATAAAAAATCACTAACTAGAACTATGCACTGTATATCCTATTGTTTGTCCTAATATGGGAGGATATTGACCATAACAATGCTGATTTTGTCTGACTGAAGTGTTCATTTATTGCAAACAGTCTCAAATATCTGCCTCTATATTACCCCATTAGGACCTAAGGATCTGTCTAAACACACACCAAGGTGCACATATGTAAAATCAGGTCTTAACAGGTTCGCTGTTTGCAGAATTGCCCCTATCTGGATTACATGATTTCACAATATGATGAAAGCTTAGGGAGGATGCTGGAACTCAAAAAATGGCCATGTGATAATGTAATTAAACCTCATTACATGACATTGGTATAATTGTTTTTTATACTGTGATATCCAGTTGCAGATATGTATATCAGAATTTCTCCCAAAAGCGCAGTACTTACAGGAGGTGCTGTCCATCACAGCTGAGGTGGACTGGGACAAGGCAGGCTCCACCTCCCTGTGTTCCTCCTCTATTTGTTTCACCTTTTCCTCGCACTCTGTCACTGTTACTCCTTCCTCTGCTGATGCAACATTTTCCACTTCAGAGCCTCCACCCTCAGAATCTGATGGGTCCTCCTCCACTCCACCCACCTGGCCACCGGAACGGGAAAAACGGGAAAACAAGATTCCACCAATTCCTTTTCCAAGGCTTGCAGCACCTAAGGGCAGTAATGTTAATGCATTACATAATTATATATTATTATATTGTAAATACATAATGTCTAACAGACTCTAAAAGACCACGTCAATCATTTCTACAATGTTATAATCGAAATCTTTGCATATTTGTTACAAAAATCAATCATGCATGATGTTTTTTAAATAGATTATTATAGGTCTTCCGGAAATGTGCTAGGTCAAAAATATGCAGCAACCTGAAAAATTAATTTTGGTGTTGTACAAAACTGAGTTATTCAAATGTTTATAGTAGCATGGCCAACTTCACGTGAGTGATTACACAACCTCACTTGGTGCAATAATCCAGGCCCATGGTTTCTCATACCATTGCTATGCTGATGATACCCAGCTCCTCCTGTCCTTCCCCCTGAACGACCACACGGTCTCTGCCCGGATGTCATCATGCCTTGCAGACAGCTCGGCATGGATGAAAAAACGCCACCTTCAACTCAACCTGTGTAAGACTGAGCTTCTTGTCATCCCAGCCAGTCCCTCTCTGCAACAGTGAATCAATTGAATTTCCCTTCTGGGATAAATAAAGTATTTTTCATTCATTCATTCAACATTGAGCTTGATTCAACCCAACTCAAACCCACAAAATCTGCCAGCAACTTGGGTGTCATGATTGATGACCAACTAACCTTCAAGGCTCATGTGGCCTCTGTTGCTCTGTAGTGCTGATTCGCCCTATGCAACATCAGGAAGATCAGACCTTTCCTGTCTGAACATGCAGCACAACTCCTGGTACAAGCTCTCATAATATCACGCATTGACTACTGCAACTCCTGACTGGCAGGCCTCCCTGTATCCACGGTCAAACCTCTGCAGATGATCCAGAATGCAGCATGTCTGGATTTCAACCAGCCAAAAACAGCACATGTCACCCTGCTGTTCAGATCACTTCACTGGCTTCCAGTTGTTGCCTGCATCAAATTCAAAACCCTGACACTTGCTTACAAAACTACAATGAGAACAGCTCCCTCCTACCTGAACTCTTTCATTCAGGTCTACACTCCCTCCTGCTCACTACGCTCAACCAACAAAAACCGCCTGATACAATCACCACAACAGGGCCCGAGGTCGATAGCTCGACTCTTCTCCTCTGTGGTTCCCCGGTGGTGGAACAAGTGACCAAACTCTGTTAATTCTGCTGACTCCCTCTTTAAGAAAAGACTAAAGACCCAGCTCTTCACTGAACACCTTTGCACTTGACAGACTGAAAACAAACAAACAAACAAACAAATCCGATTACCTCCCACACCGCCTGCTATTGGCATCAACGTCAGTGTTATCAGTGTTATCTCTCATCAGTGTTACTGACCCACAGAAACACGTGAAACTCATCTGTGAAGTGAGCTGGCACAATGGAAATGAAACGACAAATTATTGGGAATACTTGAACTTATCTAGATTGTTTACTCCTGACTAGATCCTTGCTTGTGTTGTATCCGCTCTCAGGTGTACGTTGCTTTGGATAAAAGAGTCCACTAAATGAAATTATAGAATTGATTACAACTGGTGACTGGTGACTCCTCTGATCCAATTTAAAAGGGACCCATTTAATACACTCATTAGGCTCCGCCACAAACGCTACTGATCTGAAAAAGCAAAAAATTGAGCAAGTCAGGAAAGTCCCTTGAAGCCATTTTAAAGCAGCTACAGATTCCAAAATCACATGTGAAAAAAAGGAATTTTATAAGTATAAAGTGAATGGTACACTTGTGTCCCTGCCACAATCAGGAAGGAAATGGAAGCTATCACCAGCTGCTGAGAGACAACTGGTCAGAATGGTCAAGAGTCAAAGCATCTAGTTGTGGTGAAAATGGCCAAGGGACGTTAAACCAAACATTAAAACTGGTGTATGTATATTTTCGATGCAGCAGATTTTGTCATATTTCTAGATGACCTATAAAAATCATGCATAAAAAAATGCATGATTGTCTTCCCATCACAGAAAATTCATCGTCATAGGAGTCATCAAAAACTCAAGACCACTATAATTTACATGGTCTTTAGAAGTGTATGTAAACTTTTGTTCACGACTTTATATGGTTTTGATGCCTTGACTTCGACTGTATAGTGTAAAATGTTAGGAATTTCAAATGGCAGATAAAGTTCTATCAGGAGTTAATTGTGCAAGCAGCTTTTCTTCCTCTCAGCAAATGTGTGTCGACTGTGACTAAAAGGGCAGAATTTCAGCTGAAAAGAAAATCTGAAGAAGACCAATGCAGGTCTTTTTCTGCCTTTTTCTATTTCTTACACAGATAAATATCAAGATTTTTTTTCTGGCTTTTTCCTTTTCGTACAGCATGACAACACAAACACTTATGTACTTATATTGCACTCTGTGCAGTCATAACTCTTCCTGTGGGCTCACCCATGATGCTGGCCTTGCCCAAGCTGGTGATGGACTCTCCATAGTGCCGTCGGGCCTGGGGCGGGGATGTGCAGGGGCTAGGGATGCTCTCTGAATCTGAGACAGATGCGGTCTCCTTCGGGGGATTGAGCAGTGTGGGCCGGATCTGATCATAGGGTGTTGGGGTGGTGGTGTTGTACCTGCACATCACAACCACATCAACTTCTGATGACTGATCCATCCATTATCTATACACTGCTTAGTCCTCACTAGGGGAGCTGGAGTCTATCCCAGCTGACTCAGGGTGAAGGCAGGGGACACCTGGACAGGTAACCAGTCTATCACAGAGCTACACTTAGAGACAGACAACCAAGCACATTCACACCTTCGGACAATTTAGAATCACCAATTAACCTCAACATGTTTTTGGACTGTGGGAGCAAGCCAGAGAGCCTGGAGAGAACCCACGCTGCACGGGGAGAACATACAAACTCCACACAGAAAGATTCCGGGTGTCCTCACTGGGACACGAACCGGCGACCTTCTAGCTGCAAGGTGAAGGCGCTAACCACTGAGCCCCTTTGCAGGTCCTGACTGAAACATGTAGTACTTATTCTTCCTTCAGCTCTTCTTTAATTAAATTGGGCAGTACAGTTTCTATTGTAGTTGGGTTATATGAGACAGATCATAACATGATAATTCTAATTATTTTAAGTTTAGTATTTTACCATTACTCATGTTGTAAATTTTTTAGTGCAAAAAAAAGTTGTATTAACCAATAAACCAAAATAACACATAAAAAGGGAAGTGATTAATGCTAAAAACGTACTTCATCACATCATCTATTGCAAGCATTTTATCTGTCATATACAACCACATGACTTGTCTTACCAGTGAATTTGAACAGGTGCAATGTTACTGTAATGCTTTAAGATAAGAGGTTCCAATCTGTATGCCTGAAACAAACAAATACAAATTCTTTATATATTTCTCAGAAATGCTGTTTTTAATATTGCAACTGACAATTTGTCATTTAGTTTGTATTATTTTGTTGAGTAAAATCATAAAAGTAGATAGCTATGCTCTGAACAGCATGCTAACATGCTGAATTATGGAGACTGAATCTCACCACGGGGTCCGTTGGATGGAATATGTTGAAGAGGCGTTTGCAGATAGATGTGGGTAGGATGTGGTCCTGCATACCGTTGTTTCCAGGCCGAATCCCTCGCAATGCCAAGAAAACAGCCAGAGGAGACCCCATGCAGAAGAAATTTTCTACCTGCAATGCCGTGAGCATGGCACTCTCATCATTAGAAAACAAGGCACTCTCCTCGGAAGGCTGTCACATCCTAAAGTTTGTACCCAGCTGCTCAGGGGTCAGTTACAAAAAACTGTTGTTGTACTGTTATTATAGTAGCAGTGTGTACTTAATCAAACAGGTTTCTGAAAATGAAGTTGCATTCTAGCCAATTGTTTTAATAATTCTTTTTTTTAACATCTGTCATACGTTATTATCAAAATTCGTTTCATGTATTCCAGCAGCCACCTCACCCCAGCAACAATAAATTCAAAAGTTCAATTTAGATGGTAGAAATCCTAAATGAAAAGTCTGCATGATTACTGCATGCTCTGAGAGTACATCAAGCTCAGGTCTGGAGAAACCTGTTCTAGACACTCCTCAAAAACAGCATTCTGTTCATCCAAGATGCTTGTGATCCCTCCAGGGACAATGTTTGCATTTTGAATCAAAAAGTTTGTAGCTTTTATTCCAATATTTGCAGGTTGAATTAGAGGGGTTGTATTTTGAATCCAAAAGTTTGTAAGTCACATGCTGAAAAGAATGGCAGTGACTTGTGATATCTAAACTTTACCTTAAATTTCAAGGCTGGCACTGCAACACAAGACGAGGTCTGCAGACCCTGGAACTGATCCTCCAAGTCCCTTAACCTGGCCATAATAATGGATATCAATAATTACTTCAATGCAAGTTAGTTACATGTTTGTCAGTCTTGTATATATGTAATGTAGGTAGGTGTGATTTAGAAGAGAGGCTGAAATATACAGTTCAAACCAAAAGTTTACATAAACTGTATAAAAGACAAAACCCCTTTTTTTTCTCACTGTCTGACATTAAATGAGACTAAACTTTTCTTGTTGTAGGTCAGTTAGGATTACCAAAATTATTTATATTTGCTAAACGGCAGAAAAATGAGAGAATTGTTTTGAGAATTTTTTTACTGCTTCTGGTTTCAACTGTATATAATCATTGGTGGAACTGGAACGAGTCAGTCAGGGTCAAACTCCACTCTCTCCTCTCAGTACTGAAATGAATGAAGAGAGACTGCTATCTCTGAAAGAGAGAGGGAAGAACAAATACAAACAAGATGGCAAGGTGCACAGATGCAGCAGCTCAACACTCCCCTTTTAAGTGTCAAATTTTAATTGTAGTTATGTGAAAACCACTAACAGCCAACACGATCTATTGATCATAGGTCTACAGTGTAAACAGGCCACCACCAGTGAATTTCTGCACTTGTAAAATATACTAGAGGATATAGCAAGGTCACTGGGCTCTTCGTGGATTGCTAACGGCCTTGGCAGGCGCCAAAAGACAGAGGCAGCACAGGAAGCAGCCGGCTTTTGTGTTGTTTCCTTTGTGCCAATCTGTGGAGCAATGCTTGAAGTGCCATAATCCTGAGTAAGGGAAAAATATCAAAATCTGCCAACTAAATCGTTACCAAACAATTTCTTCACCAATATGTTTGTAAAGGTGTGTAATAACATGCCTTAAAATGTTGAAGTTCAACTCCTGTGGGAAACCATGAAAAAAACCTGCTAAAGTTAGGGTACCGATAAATGATTGTCGAAAAATTGATTTTTTAAAATCGGGCCTTAAGTAACTTATGAGGGGTCAAATCACGTTTTTTTCATGATTCTGAGATGATTGTTAGCATTTATATTTCACCACAAACACTCCATTGTTGAAAAAGGCCACACTCCCTTACATTCACACTTACATTTACATTCACAGTAGCTTTTATATGACATACTTACACACTGCTCAAAAAAATAAAGGGAACACTAAAATAACACATCCTAGATCTCAATGAATGAAATATTCCAGTTGAAAATCTTTATTCATTACAGAGTGGAATGTGTTGAGAACAAATTAACATAAAAATGATCAATGTAAATCAAAATTATTATCCCATGGAGGTCTGGATTGGAATCATACTCAAAATAAAAGTCGACAATCACATTGCATGCTGATCCAGCTTCAGTGGAAATTCCTCTAAACAAGTCAGAATGAGGCTCAGTAGTGTGTGTGGCTTCCACATGCCTGTATGACCTCCCTACAATGCCTGGGCATGCTCCTGATGAGGCAGGATGTTCTCCTGAGGGATCTCCTCCCAGACCTGGATTAAAGCATCAGTCAACTCCTGGACAGTCTGTGGTGCAACGAGACAGAATGTCCCAGATGTGCTCAGTTGGATTCAGGTCTGGGGAATGGGCAGGCCAGTCCATAGCATCAATGCCTTCATCATGCAGGAACTGCTGACACACTTCAGCCACATAAGGCCTAGCATTGTCATGCATCTGAAGAAACCCAGGGCCCACTGGTACCAGCATATAGTCTCACAGTGGGTCTGAGGATCTCATCCCGGTACTTGATGGCAGTCAGGGTACCTCTGGCTACCTCATGGAGGGCTGTGCCACCCTCCAGAGAAATGCCTCCTCACACCATTACTGACCCACTGCCAAACCGGTCATGCTGGAGGATGTTGCAGGCAGCAGAAAGTTCTCCACAGCATCTCCAGACTCTGTCACATGTGCTCAGTGTGAACCTGCTCACATCTGTGAAGAGCACAAGGCGCCAATGGCCAATCTGCCAACCTGCCAACCTTGGTGTTCTCTGACAAATGCCAATCTTCCTGCACGGTGTTGAGCTGTAAGCACAAGTCCCACTGGTAGACGTGGGGCCCTCATACCACCCTCATGGAGTCTGTTTCTGACAGTCTGAGCAGAAACATGCATATTGGTGGCCTGCTGGAGGTCATTCTGCAGGGCTCTGGCAGTGCTTGCCACAGCTCCCATTGGTGTGCCATCCTGGATGAACTGCACTACCTGAGCAACTTCTGTGGGTTGTAGACAGCGCCTCATGCTACCTCTAGGGCTGAGAGCACTGACAAAATGCAAAAGTGACCAAAACATTAGCCAGAAAGGATGAGAACAGAGACATGGTCGGTTGTCACCACCTGCAGAACCACTCCTTTATAGGGGTTGTCTTGCTAACTGCCTCTCATTTCCACCTGTTGTCTGTTCTATTTGCTCAACAGCAGGTTGAAAGTGATTCACAATCAGTGTTGCTTCCTAACTGGACAGGTTGATTTCGTGGAAGTGTGATTGACTTGGAGTTACATTGTGTTGTTTAAGTGTTCCCTTTATTTTTTTGAGCAGTGTATGATACTCAGTTATTTCTTATTCACAGTGTCAGAAGCTTCAAGAGTCATTGTCTATGTCCTCTTCAGACTCAACAACATCGTGATTGCAGTTTCCGCATGTAATGCCTTTACAGATTCCACAGGCCGAGATGCCCATGACCCCATTCGTCTTGCAGCTGGAGATGTCCATGTACTCATCCACGTCCCCTGCACATGTTTCTGCACATGTTTTGTGCAGGGGACATGGATGAGTACATGGACATCTTCCTTGACACAGAAGCCACCAAGGAGGCAGTGATTCAGGGTACGATTTTCCAGTACATTTATCATGGAGCAGATACTACACTGGGTGAAATTTGGTACATGTTCTCAAGGAGGGCTGCAAGGTGGCTCAGTGGATAGCACTGTTGCCTTGCAGCTAGAAGGTTGCCGGTTCGCGTCTCTGAGAAGACACCCGGGATCTTTCTGCGTGGAGTCTCCATGTTCTCCCTGTGCAGCGTGATTTCTCTCCGTGTTCTGCTCCCTCCCACAAGTCCAGAAACATGCTGAGATTAATTGGTGATTCCAAATTGTCCGTAGGTGTGAATGTGAGTGTGCTTGGTTGTCTGTCTCTAAGTGTAGCCCTGTGACAGACTGGTTACCTGTCCAGGTGAACCTGCCTTCACCCTGAGTCAGCTGGGATAGGCTCCAGCCCCCCCGCGACCCTCGTGAGATAATGGATGGATGCTCTCAAACCAGAGACTCTACCTCTAACAGAGGGTGCAGCTGCCAGCATTCACTCCGCAGACCTGGGACTGGATCCTTCTACAGAGCATGTCTCTGAAGCCCAGTGACTATGGATGGACATTAGGTGTGCATGGGTATGAGCCAGTTCCAACACTAGACCCCATGAGTCTTGAGGAGCTGTAATTGTCATAGAGATTGTAGCAACCGGCGGTGCAGGTGCCAAGAGAATGGGGTCATGAGCATCTGGGCCTGTGGAGTCTGTACAGGCATTACATTCAGAAACCGCAGTCATGATGTTGTTGAGTCTGAAGAAGAAATAGGCAATGACTCTTGAAGCTTCTGACATTGTGAATGAGAAATAACTCTGAGTGTTATATAAGTATGTGAAATAAAAGCTACTGTGAATGTTAATGTAAAAGTGAGTGTGGTGTTTTTCAACAATGGAGTGTTTGTGGTGAAATATAAATGTTAAGAATCAACTCAGAATCATGAAAAAAACCTGATTAGACCCCTCATAAGTTACTGAAGGCCTGATTTTTTTTTATAAAATTGACTTTTCATCAATCCTTTATTGACACCCTAACTTGAGCAGGTTTTTCCAGGGTTTCCCACGGGAGTTGAACTTCAACATTTTAAGGCATGTTATTACACACCTTTACAAACATATTGGTGAAGAAATTGATTGGTAATGACTTAGTTGGCAGATTTGTGAAAAATCTCATAAAATGCCCTTACTACTTGAAAACTAATGTAGCTAGAATTCTGAAATTTTGCAGGTTTATTGATAAGTACATACGGTCTTCAATGGTAACACTCTGCTTTAGCAACAATAATAATCATAATAATAACAATAATAATAATAGTAATAATAATAATATTAGTAATAATAACCAGTTATATGATGGTCAAAAAATGTTGATCTTACTTTCTATTCCCATATTATACCAACCATAAAACCTTTATTTTTCACCCAAACAGGCAGATTTTTCCACCAATGTGTGGGAGCTTTAACATGTAGAGTTTGGTGTCAGTCAGAGGCATATAAAAACATTTTTGACAAATTTTTGCATTGCATTGCATATGACCGATATTAGGACAATCATTGAGCTGGTATGATCAGTGAAACTACTCCAATAGTGGTCCCAACTGTAAGAGTTATATATTATTGTTACAGAGCTAAAAGAAAAATCATGGTTTTCCAACTAATAGTCCTTCAAAAAAATGTATAAAAAGTGGCACCCTAAGCAATCATGTCCATATTCAAAAAACTAATTTTATGCATGTAATATCAAGTGAAACATTTCCTGTTTATCCCAAGATCATGGCAATTGTACAATTAGCTTTATAAAACAACATGGACAAAATGTTCCTGAATTCATGAAATGGCAATTACCATGATCACTGATCATATATGGACCACAATGCCTGGTCACATTTTGTTAAATTCCTCTACTGAAGCCATTTTGCCTAATTACAGATATTTACAAAACATACACCCAAACAGTTTGACATCAGCATCCTTTAGAATATCCAGGGAAATCCATCCACACGGTAACAACATGGGCATCAATATTGCATAGCGAACTGGAAAACCCATTTTCCACAAAAAATGGGGTTGAACTGTTTTAAAACATTGATTTAATGCTGATATCAGTACACCATTTATTATTGCTACCAAGTTTCCCAACAGTGTTGCTATGTGACTAACTATTTGCTAACAAGGTTATAATGAATTAAAACAGACCTTGATTAATAAAGAATTAAAAAATAAAATCAAAACCACAAAAGGAATTATATGTCTCATGGTACCACCTTAAATAATAAATTTTTTAATGGTCTGTTAGTTGGAAAACCATGTTTTTTTTTTTTTTAGCCTAGTAACAGCATTATAGGACTCTTTCAGTTGGGACCACTATTGCAGTTTGTTCATCATACCTTCCCAAAAGAAACACTGACATTTTTTGACCAAATTTCCACCAACTGGTTTGTATTATTCTATCAAAACAACACCATTGGAGACCATGTGTACATATCAATCTGCGTACAAAATTTTAGGACATTATTTCTCAAGTTATGGCACTTCAGACATAATATGACCCCACTCTTCTTTACAAATTCGTAACTTTAAAGTCATGTTAACTGGGAACCCAGAGTTTACATGTTTTACTTAATAACATATGTATGCACGGAAAAAAAAATCTGACAATCTTAAATGGTTGGGTATGAACTTTTTTTTAAAAAAATTGTTGAGTTGAGGTGGAATAAGCCGATTTTTTTTTCATCCACATCCAGGTATAATGAAGCATATGCACAAAAGAATATTACCGGTATGTTTTCCTATACAGGGGGAAAATGCTCAAGGATCGTAGATATTGCTGAGCTCTGCTGTACCTAGGTCAATTTTTTTGCATAAACAGATGTGGATTTAAACTCTTCACATGTTCCAGAAGAATAATCTGTGCAGTACCTGAGGTGAGTGAGCCTCAGCTGCTCCTGAAGGTGGCGCTCCTCATCACTTGGCCAGCGGACTTTTGTCTTCTCTGGGTCTGGTGCTTCTTGATGATGAAAACGCACGGGGTCCCAGCCTGTCATGATATCAAAGGTGATGACACAGCCCAGCGAGTGCGACACTATGGACACCTTCCCATTTTTCTCAAAGTCTGGATTTCGCGAGCAGAAGAGTGAGTACAGTCGATTCAGCTCCAGTGTTAAACCCCTAGTAATCTACACAGACACACAACAACAGCACATAAAAAATGTGTAAGATATTTGTCTCTGTTGCTATTTTTAATGTCAGTAAAATAAGAAAAAGAAAACAGTTTGATATCAAAGAGGCTTAATTAATCAGGTATTATTTCACAGTCTGGTAGTGGACCATAATTAAGTGCTATACAGGCATTTTGGATCAAATCAGTGTATCCAGGATTTAGTTGTGACTGAAGTTAGTTGATTCACACTAATGGGACAAAGGGTCGGAAACTGCCAGCAGGGCGACTGCCCAAAGCAGTGGGGCAACAGAATGCTGAACCTCAGGCTAGTTACATTTCTCCAAGGTAGAAAAAGCTGTAGTGCAGTACAGACTCAGGCTCACCTCATCTCTGTACAGAGGACTTGTATAGTACATGATGTCCATGGCACTGCTGTTCAGCATGTCTCTAAGACCTCGCACTTTGTCTGGAGTGATGGAGTCCACTGTGTCTGCAGCAAGAACGTACAAATACATTTAGATTAGTTTATTCACAAGTTAAAATGCAAACGTTATAATGATTGCTCCTCCCACAATAGAGTTAGTTATGGAGTTCCGCATTCCACAGTGTTGGGGGGGGGATTGCTTGTAATTTTCATCTCTTAAATTCATACAAAACTGAAGTTATGGTATTTGGCCAGAAACACACTACCAAACAGATAATTGCTCTGACTGGCATTGCTTTGGCCTTATTTTTGACCAGAATATGTTCTTTAACTCATACATCAACCACAACTGTAGGATGGCCTTCTTTCACCTCTGCAATATTGTCAAAATCAGGAACATCCTGTCTCAGAGTAATACAGAAAAACTAGTCCATGCATTTGTAACTTCTGGGCTGGACTATTGTAACTCCAGTTGACATAAGCCAGAGTTCTGACAGGAACCACTGAAAGATTGGTTAGTTCCTTTGGACTGTAGTCAACTGCTTGCTCAAAGGGAATCCAAAGGAACTTTGGATTGGTGGTTTCTCTGTTTAAAATTTGTAAGGTCTTGATTACCTGATTATGTTAAGTGCCATTAGACAGCAAATGCTGTGAATTGGCTGTATATAATAAATTGAATTGACTAATGTAACTGTAATATTTGTTGAGCAAATTCAAACCCCCAATGGGAACCAGTTTTTTGCTATCAAGTAATGTACCCTGAAAATGCAATATTTGGTGCCACATAGTTGTAATAGTGGTCACCATGCCTTGAATTTGCCTGGCTTTTTCTAAAAGTAAAAATAATCACAGCTCTGATCCTAATTCGTATATAAGTATTAGTGTATACTTACAATGTACAAATACAACAAATCCTGCTTTTTTTTTTTTTTTTAATTTCAAGGCATACCTGACCTGCATATTGTCAGGACAGTTTTCCAGATAAAGACAGCTTTCATTTTGGATAGTTGAAGCTGAAGTGCAGCATACCGCCATCCAGACACAGTTTTGACCTCCACTCCACAGGAAGAAACTCCACATGCTCTGTGGTGCGATCAGAGAAGTGCTTCTCTTCCATCTTTCTTGCAGCATCTCTCATCCTGCCCACCAGCCAAGAGAAAACAATTACTTACTAGAATATTAGAATTATTCAGATTTAGTTCAGTTTCAGTTCACGCCAAGCTTTCACTTCAAACACCCTAATGTCTTACATGCTGGTATTCCTGATGATGCGACCCTGGTCCATCTTCTGGCCAATGCCGTGCACCACAAAGACAATGTGTGTGGTTTCAGGTGGGGTATCCTCAGGTGCTGCCTCCTCGACATATCCTCGATGGAGGCGTGTCCCACTGCTGGAGGCTGAGAACATGAGAGAAAGCACGTTTTGCATTCCACAGCAGTGTGTTTATGTTTTGTTTTCTGACATTGCCAGCAAATGACTATGAAAGTCGACAATACATTTTTTCAGTAACAATACAGTTTTTTTCCGTAGTGCCTCGACAAAACCAAGCAAATCAAGTTATATGTTTGTGTGTCCTTATCATGAAATGGAACAACATTGCCACTCTTCAGACCATTATAACGAATGGTTTTCCAAATGCCCCCTGGATCTAAAGTTTCATAAGATCTTAACGATCATCTTTGTCAGTCCTGTAAACTACAAATTGTTTGTTTGGTTGATTTGTTTGTATAAAGGCCAGTTCACCCAAATTACAAAATAACATATTTGTATTTTTGTGTCTGCTTTTTTGTCAGATTGCTTTGGGTTATATTTTTACATTTGAAGACATCTCTGATATTTCTGCCTCAACCCAGTACAAAGAAATTGCATGGAGCTGACGTGTGTTGTTCATTGAATTAAGCCTTTAATTTGTTTTTCAGCTCAGTTACTACATTTTTATTCTGACAGTACTTCTTTGTATCCGCAACGTTTAAGCCTTTCATTGATTCTTGAACTTGTGTTTCACTAAGGTTGAACAACAAGTCAACATTATTCCCTAGGTCAAACAAATGGAATACACAGAAAGAACTAAAGAGAGCTATTCTCTTCTGTACGTTTTTCTGGATACCTTTTGAGAAGCCCAGTTTCTGAGTGACCGTACGTGCGATCTTGGAGGTGGTAGCATCACTGTATAGGTACACTTCGTCCACACTGTGCCAGTCCACATGACTTCTACTCAGCTTCAGGCTGTGGATGGCTGGGAGACAGTCACACTGTGATTAAGAGCAACTGACACACTTCATCCTGCATAATTATTTCATCATTCCCCATGAGAGTGTGCAGAATGTGTGTGTGTTAATTTCTACTGCATTGAAGTTCATTTACAGAAGTAATGATACAAACTGTACACACACTCAGTCCCTCCTCCTCTCTCAGTTGAGCTTCCAATTGGTTCTTCTAGAATAAGCTAAAACAACATCACCTGACACTTATTGTGGCTTTGCTCTCAATGGCAAAGTTACCCAAACCACATACACATTGGTGTTTGCACAGTTATCCCTTAGTCAGTGCTTGCAACCTCAATACTCATTCTCATTCACACTATCCCTTCTACACACACATTTATCTTGACACACATGTATATCTTTCTAATTCTGCTTTCTTCCATCCTTTGTATTATATTCCTTACCATCCTTGCTGTCCACTGTTGTGGTCATTGCCTCTATCTCGTAGGTATCCCTCATCTGTTGCCCCCGGAAACAGGCAAGGTGCTCCAGCTCAATAAGGTCACTCTCATCCTCCTCCAGGGGAAGCCATGTTCCATCAGTGAACCACTGACCTCTCATGACAGGAATGCGATCTTGTTCTGAGGAACACAGCAATATATTCATTTACCACTTTATTTTTCCTGGCACACACACACACACCTACACACACACATCTACACACACACACACACACACGCAAGATACAAATCACATTTTCTGTTAGCCACTGCACCACTTCTACAAGGCCAACTGACTTTAAATCCCTGGCTCAATGCCAAATTATCTTCATTAGTCAACAATGTTTTTTTTAATTTAAACCCCTAAATGCACCTAAAGTTTCATATTTCACCCTCCATTTAGGAGAAACGGCTATTTTGAAAAAAGAACTACAACTTCCAGTAGCGTTACAATACAACATGATTGGACACGCCATCAAATATGTCAATCCTCTTGGGGTTTACAACTAGGGTTGTGTTTTTGTATTAATAAACAAAAATAAACGGATTGAAGTACTGACAAATGTGCTACTGTTAAAGTATAATACGCGTAGTATGAAATAAGTGTAAAAGAGTACATCATATTGTGATTTTTTGTGTGTTTTTATTACACCGGCAGTGTTTGGGGGAAATTTGCGCTCTTTGCTATGGCAACCCTGTTAATGTCAGCGCGTAGCCTCGCCATAGACCTGGAAGAGATCTGTCCTATAGGATCCATAATGTTTTTGTGTGTACAGTAAGTGGCAATAATGCACCTGAACGTTGGATGCCAACCGCCAAATCAATAGAAGAAGAAGCAGCAGCTAGGCTAGTAGCGAATGTAGACAGTCTCGACGAGCTAGCTAAAAGCTGCACAAAGCTACAGATACATTCCCCACCGCTGCCCTCTCAGTTACAATAGTCAGATGATCTATCGCTGCGATCACAGTATATGTTGTGGTCGTCGTTTTCCTGCATGTATCCTTCTTTTCAGAGTTGTATTCGTTTACAGAGAAACGAAAATAACAACGAGCATGTAGCCCAAACAAAGTAAAAGCACCGATATTTATGTTTATATCTATGTTTTATATTTCTGTCTATGAACGATATTGTTGGGATTACTTTCAGAGCGATCTCAGAACAGTTTCTCTCTGCCTGGGTATATTTCTTGTATTTTCTATTAATGAATACAGAGCTTATAGCAGGTGGAGCACACGGTACTGGCTCAGCACCGGTGTTTACAGAATGTTAACATTGGTCAGTGTGTGCGCACATATCTTTATAGTGATCTCTATAGTAATTAGTTTGGATGGGCCATAACAGTAAAATTGGTTAATGCCTGATTGTTGGAAGAAAAGAAAGACAAAAACATCACAGTATATGCGCTGTCTGACAGGGAAAAAATGTGTCCCAGACACGAAAGATAATTCCAATTGAACTGTATTGGTTTGAAATTCGTGCTGCGGAACACAAAAAAGTCGAGCAAATTGTGTCCCAGGACACAAAACAATAGCTTAAATTTCGTGACTATTTAACGAATTGCCGTGAGGTGTGTGTGTGAGTGTACAAGAATTATCTCCAGGAAATAATATATTAAAACGAGTACATGGGAAATAAGCATTCTTGTACATTCAATTTACACCTGAAACCATTACTTGATTAATAGATTAGTCAATCACCAAAAAAATGCATGGTAACCATTTCAATAATGACTTCAATGTCTACGTTCATTTTGTAAAGCAAGGACAGATCAAATGAGAGAACTGACACTCAAAAGTTTACGGGTAATTTATGTAGCACATTACCTTGGACATTCATTAATAAATATTTTACTTATTGCCGACACAATTATTAAATGAATCAGTCAATTGGTAACAATCAATACAGGAATTATTTAAGTCATTTAAACAACAATGCAAAACAATTCTCTTGTGCCTAAGCCAAAACTAAATGCTTTTCTTACATGTACACCAGTTAGTCAAAACAAAAGATCATCTTCCTGATACTGTGTACTACCCCTTTGCTGCCAAAACAGTTCTGAATTGTCAGCGTATGGACTTCAAAAATAATTGATGTTAATGTTGGCAGCTGGTCCTTAGGGTCTGCTGTGGGTCCTGCTTGTTCTTATCCCATGGATGCTTAATTGGATTGAAACTTGGGGAGTTTGACAGTTGGGTCAACAACTTTTACTTTTTTGTGTTCCTCAAGCCTTTTTTGATAAATTTTTACAGTGTGGCAGGGTGCATTGTCCAGCTGAGGGAAAATGCTGCCTTTGGGGAGGGCCATTGCCATGTGGAAGTGCACTTGGTGTGGAATGATGTATAGGTGGGTGGTACATATCAAAATAACATCTACATGTCTGCAAAGACCAACGGTTTGAATGTTTTTAATGTTGTGGCTAATTGGTATACATACATAATGTCATACACACAAGTTTACTTATAGTGCTGTGAAAAAGTATTTACCCCTTCCTGATGTCTTCTATTTTTTGCATGCCTCTCACTAAAATGTTCAAGATCATCAAACTAATATTTATATTAATTTAATATTAGACAGAGAAAACCCACAAAACACAAAATGTAGTTTTTAAATGATGATTTTTTGTAGACTATTTGAAAACCCCCGTGGAAAAGTAATTGCCCCCCTATACTCAAGGGTTTAGTGTCATTACATTCTCTACAACCTGCTGGTTTCACTCCATCGGCCTGAAGACAGAACCCATCTGCAGTACACTCACAAGGTCTGCTCTAAAATCATTGGACTCCCACTCAGAGCACTTTCTAGCCTGTGTGAACAGCAGACACTGAGGACATGAGCAGGACCCTCCAGGACCTCTCACATACTCTATATGAGGACGTCGGTTTCGCTGTCCTCACGTAGATCGTGTGATGGGTTCTTTAATTGGCCCCAGGGGACAAAACAAGTTTTTCTAAATTGAACTGAAAACCTAATAACTGGTTGGCTGGTCCTTGGCAGCAACAACTGCAGTGAAATGTTTGTGATAGCTTGCGATCAGTATTTTACATCACCATGGAAAGATTTTTGGCCCACTCCTCTCTGCAGAATAGTCTTAATTTGGCCAAATTAGGTGGTTTTTGAGCATTAACTGCCCTTTTAAGGTCTTGCCACAGAATGTCAATTGGATTCAAGTCCGCGCTTTGACTTCGCCACTCGAAAACCTTAATTTTGTTTTTTAGAGCCATTCAGAGATGGACTTGCTTGTGTGCTTTGGGTCATTGTCATGCTGCATAACCTATTTGTGCTTGAGCTTTAGGTCGTGAACTGATGGGAGGATATTCTCCAAGAGGATTTTCTGATAGAGAGCAGAATCCATGGCTCCATCAAGTATGACAAGTTGCCTTGGTCATGTTGAAGCAAAACTTCCTACTGCCACATCACACTACCACCTCCATGTTTCACTGTTGGAATGATGTTCTTCTTGTGAAATGTAGCATTAGCTCTACGCCGGATGTAACAGGACCCATGTCTTAGAAAGAATTCCACCGTTGACTCATCAGTCCACAGGATCTTATCCCATTAGCCTTGGGGCTCATCTATATATTTTCTTTTGCAATGCCAGGCGAGACTTTAAGTTGCTTTTGGCCAGGAGTGGTTTACACCTTGCAATGGTTGCCCCATGGATGCCATTTTTGCACAGTGTCTTCCTTATTGTGGAATCAAGAACACTGACCTTAACTGAGGCACATGAGGCCTACAGTTCTTTTGATGTTCATCTGGGTTCTTTTGTGACCTCCTGGATGACATGTCAATGCGCTATTGAGGATAATGTCTCTCACTGTGGTTTGCTGGAGTCCCAAAACTTCAGCAATGGCTTTGGAACCCTTTCCAGACTGATAAATGTCAATGACTTTGTTTTCCCCAGAGGTGGGAAGTAACACAGTACAAAGACTTCACTGTATCTGTACTTCACTTGAGTATTATTTTTTCTGATGACTTTTTACTTTTACTCCCTGCATTTGAACACAAAATCTGTACATTCTACTCCTCACATTCTCAAAACTGGCTCGTTACTTGTTTCAACCTCCGCGGATGACGACACGACGCAAAAGACGCAAGAACAAATGTCTTTATCTTTCCCAGAGGGCTGTACCACAAAGCGTGATTAGTGGGTTAGCAAGGTATGTAGAGCTTGAAGCCAGAGTTTTCAGTATCACAAAGGTGGCTCTCTTTTTACCTGGAGATCTCTCCATGGTAACGTATGCTGTGGAGCTAACCTGGTTGGGAGCAGGTTATGTTCAGCGTTTCGTAGTTAAATCGGCTGGAAAGAGCGTCTCCCTTTAACCAAATTGTTTCCTGACTATTATTTATGAGCGATACAGATTCTCAGCTGAGGGAATGTGTTCTATCTGCAAACATGTTGAGCTGTGCGTTACTAATATCACTGAATGAAGCCGTGTAGATACAATATCGCACAGTTGACAGAGACGGAGAACGAGTGATCTGCACAGGCAGCACGGGGCTGCTGATGCCAGTTTAGGTTGGCGGTCACAGTTCTGTTGCTGGCATCGGCGGCGACGGGTGTGCAGGTTGGTGGCAGGTTGTGGGCGAATATATATCATATACCACAACAATGTCCGAATATTCGAATATTTGGATGTTCGGGTCCAGCCCTACTGTAAATGTCCCGTTGCCATGGGAACCCGACATCTTAAATTGGTGATGCAGAAATCACATAAGTATGTTTTTATGTTTAGCTCTGATTTGCTGTCAAGTCCGTTTACACTGCTGGTACTGCAGCTGATAGAACACAGAAAATGGATTATTCTACTGGTACTCATTACAGAGAATATTCACAATCAATAACATTAATTTTGCTCTGATTGAGCCAAAAATTCAAGTGATTTCCTGCATTATGGGACAGTGTCAGACCTAAATGCACTTCAATACAATATCATGTTTAAATGTATGAAGTTTAAAGATTAACTTTAACGTGCAGCTGTCAGTTGGAAATAATCGGCTGCATCAGTAAAATATTCTATATTAACACGTTTAACAGTTTTCTACCAGCATTTCTGTCTTGCACCATTTGCAGTTGTGGCGCTTTTTACCGTCATATATATCCATCCATCCATCCATCCATCCATCCATCCATCCATCCATCC